GGAATCCCTGCATTGGATGGTAGAGGGGACAGGCAATGCCATTTTCAAATTAGGGTTTTGTGGCTGGCCTTTAAATATAACTAGGATGACTCTTGATACTCAGGCCTAGGAGTTTTGTCTCTTCATTCTTAGCAAGGGTCCTCTGAGGGGATGTCATTCATTCATTCATTCATTCATTCATTCATTCATTCATTCATTCAACAAACACAGCAGCTAGAACCATGAACGAGACAGAGAGCAGCTCTGCTTGCCTGAAGCCTGAAGCCCGATGGGGTATGAGGTTGTTGACAGGTGCCACCAGATTGCTCTGACTCGCGGCAGCCCGACGGACACCAGACGGACACCAGCGGGCAACATGACTCCGTCCGGGGCCATCCTCCCAAGTGTGCTTGCGCCCATTCTTACAGCCACTGTGTCGGTCCGTCTTGTCGAGGGCCCCCTCTTTCTCACGGCCTCTCTACTTTACCCAGCAGGATGTCCTTCTCCAGGAACGGGGTCTCCTGACACCATGTCCAAAGTATGGGAGACAAAGTCTTGCCATCCTTGCCTCTAAGAATGATTCTGGCTGTATTTCTTCCCAGACAGCCATGCTGGCTCTTTCAGCACTCCGTGGGCCTTTCCATCTTCTCCAGGGGCACCCGCGGTCAAAGGCGTCAATTCTTCTCCAGTCTTCCGTCTTCAATGCCCAGCTTTCACTGCCTATGAGGCAACTGAACATGCCGTGGCTGGGGTCAGGCACGCCTTCATCCTCAAGCAACATATTTGCTTTTGAACACTTTAAAGAGGCCTTGTCAGATCTATCCAGTCTTTTGATCTCCTGGCTGCTGCTTCCATGAGCATTGATTGGGCATCCAAGAGAGATAAAGTCCTTGACAACGTCAATCTCTTCTCCATTTATCATGATGTAACCTAGTGGTTTATTTGTGAGGATTTCGGTCTTCTTTAGCTTGAGTTGCAATCCACACTGCAGGCTACAATCCTCGATCTTCATCACCAAGTGCTTCAATTCCTTCTCCCTTTAGCAAGCCAGGTTGTGTCATCTGCATATTGCAGGTTGTTGACAAGCCTTCCTCCAATCCTGATGCCACACTCTTCGTCATGTAATCCAGCATTTTTTGATGATTTGCTCAATATACAGATTGAATAAATATGGTGGAAGGATCTAATCCTGATGCACACCTCTCCAGATTTTAAACCGTGCATCATTCCCTCGTTCTGTTCACACAGCGGCCCCTTGCTCCGTGTACAAGTTTTGTATACACACAAGGAAGTGTCTTGGCATTCCCATTCTTCTCAAGGGCATCCTTGGTTTGCTATGGTCCACACAGTCAAATGCCGTGGCCTAGTCAATGGAACACAAGCAAACATCTTTCTGGTCTTCTCTGCTTTCCACCGTGATAGATATCTGACATCAGCAATGATATTCCTTGTTCCACATTCTCTTCGGAATCCAGCCACAACCTCCGGCAGCTGCCTGTCAATGTATTGCTGCAACTGTTTTGGGGTGATCTCCAGCAAAATGTTGCTTGCATGTGATTGCAACTCTATTAATTTATAACTTGAGCATTCTTTTGGGTCACCTTTCTTTGGAACGGGTTACAGATATGGATCTCTTCCAGTCAGTCAACTAGCTGTCTTCCAGTTTCCTGCTAGAGACGAGGGAGTGCTTCCAGTGCTTCAACAGCTTGCGAAACACTCCAATTACTTTTCCATTCATTCCTGGAGCCTTGGTTTTGGCTGATACTGTCAGTGCTGCTTGAACTTCTTCCTTCAGCGCCATTGGTTCTTGCTCATCTGCTACCTTTTGAAATGGTTGAATACAGTGTCTGGGTATTCTTTCCATTTTCTTTTGATGCTTCTTGCATATTCAATACTTTGTCCACAGAATCAATATTGCAACTTGAGGCTTGAATATTTTCTGGAGCTCTTTCAGGTTTTTGTTTCTGTTTTTAGTTCTTTCAGTTTAAGATCTGCTGAGTGTGTTCTTATTTTTTATCTTTTGGTTTTCTAACGCTAGGCTTCTGCACATTTCATTATAATTCTTTACTCTGTCCTCTTGAACTGCCCTTTGAAATTTTCTGTTCAGCTCTTTGACTTCCCCCTTTCTCTCATTTACTTTAGCGCCTCTACCAGTAAGAGCGAGTTTCAGTCTCTTCTGACATCCACACTGATCTTTGCTTTCTTTCCTGTCTTTGTAGTGGCCTTTGGCTTTCTCCATGTCTGATGCACTTGACGTCCTTCCACAGATTTTCTGGTCTTCTGTCATTAGTGTCCAGTGCATCAGTGCTGTTCTTGAAGTTCATGCTGGATAGATTCAAGGTTGTGTTTGGACTCTCATAGACTTGTTTTCATTTTCTTTAGCTTCAACCTGAACTTACATAGGAGCAATTGATGGTTTGTTCCACAGTTACTCCCTAGCCTGGTTTCAGTTGCTGATATTGAGCTTCTCCATTGTCTTTTCCCACAGATGTAGTCAATTTGATTGTGGTGTCTCCCATCTGGGGAAATCCACGTGTATAGTAGCCATTTGCATTATTTCAAAAAGGTATTTGCTATGAACATGTCGTTGGCCTTGCAAAATTCTACCATGTGATCTCAGCTTTGTTCTTATCAGCAAGACCATCTTTTTCAACCATGGGTCCTTCCTCTTTGTCTCTCACTTTTGTATTCCATTCGCCAATAATTATCTATGCATCTTGATTTCATGCTTGATCAATTTCCAATAGAAGATGTTGGTAGAATTCTTCAATTTCTTCATCACGAGCTTTTGCGGTTGTATTGCTTAAATTTGAATAATCGTCGTATTGATGGAGTTCCTTGTATTCAGATAGAGATAATCCTGGCCCAGATAGCCTCATACCTCAAGGTAGATCTTGAAATGTCCTTTCTGACAATGAATGCAATGCCATTCTTCTTGATCGTGTCATTCCTAGCATAATACACCATATGATTTTCCGATTTAAAAGGGTGGATAACAGTCTATTTCAGCTTACAGACACATAAGATATTGATATTTATGCATTCCATTTCATTTTTTCCGGCTTCCAATTTTCCTAGATTCATACATCACGCATTCCAAGTTCCAATTAGTAGATGTTTGCAGCTGTTTCTTCTCCTTGAGCAAAAGAAGGCCCGGAGGCTTTAGTCCCGTGGGCTTTACCCCACTCACGTCATTGTGGTTGACTATTTTGAGAAGGTGGCTCTTCCTTAGCTATATTTTGAGTGCCTTATGACCCGAGGGGCTCTTTCTAGTGCTTTCTTTGACAATGCTCTGCTTCTCTGCATTAGGCCCTCAGTATCTGACAACATTTCAATGCTGCCCATGAGGTTTACAGCGGCTACTTCCTCTGAAGCAGACAGCCAACTACCTCTTTGCTGTCTGTTCTTAGTCTGGGAGCTTGGCTGACGCCTGCTCCCTTTGGGTGCCCCTGCTGACATTTGAAATGTCAGTCCCATAGCCTCCAGCAACACAGCAACACCCAAGCCCCCACAGGATGACAAGCTGGCAGACTAGTGATGGTGGGGTGACCCGTCCCGCGGGCCATTAAACAACGTGGACACCTGAAAGAGGGACTGGGAATGAAGAGGGGCAAGAGACGCGAGAAATGGAGGCAAGACAGGAGTCTGATCAAGCCTCG